CCTTCCTTCCTTCCTTCCTTCCTTCCTTCCTTCCTTCCTTCCTTCCTCCTTCTTTTTCTTTTATTTTCTTTCTTTATAAATTTCATGTGTATTGGTATTTTGCCTGCATATATGTCTGAGTGAGGGTGTTGGATCCTCTGAAACTGGAGCTACAGCCAATCCTTTTAACTGCTGTGCCATCTCTCCAGCCCAAGACAGGCGAGTTTCTGAGTTCAAGGACAGCCTAGTCTAGAGTGAGTTTCAGGACAGCCAGGGCTACACTGAGAAATCCTGTTTCAAAAGGAAGGAAGGAAGGAAGGAAGGAAGGAAGGAAGGAAGGAAGGAAGGAAGGAAGGAAGGAAGGAAGGAAGGAAGGAAAAAAAAAGAAAAGAAAAGAAAGAGGGACTAGGGAGATGACTCGGCAGGCAATTAAGAGTACATACTTTCTTGTAGAGGGCCCAAGTTTTGTTCTGAGTACCAGCATTGAGTAGTTCACAACTGTAACTTAAGCTCCAGTGGATCCAATAATACCACATTTTTTGGCCTTCAAGGGTACCTTTACTCATGAATACAGTACCCCTCTGGCACATGTATATAATTAAAAATCAAATCTTTAAAAAAAGAAAAAGAATTATTAAGCAAGGAATGAAGTGGATGCCTGTAATGCCAACACTCGGGAATTAGAGGCAGGATTCAAAGGCCAGCATGGTCCGTATAGCCTGTTTCAGCCCAGCCATGGTTAGAATAGGAAGACCCTGTCGAAAGGGGGGAGAGGGGGTCGAGGAAAGAGAGAGAGAAGTATCAGTGAGATGGCTCTTGGTAATGATGCCAAGCCTGATAACCTGAGTTTGGAACAAGGAGAGAATGATTTTGACTTCCTCATACCTGTGATGGACGTGCGCACTCCTGCATGTAGACAAGAAAAAAAAAGTTTTGTTTTGTTTTAATTTCAAAATATTAAAATAAAGGAAAAGTTCTTGAACCAGGTCCTGAAATAGGAGGCTGAGGCAGGAAAATGCAAATTCAAGGCCAGCCAGAGCCAGGGCTATATATTATTGAGACAGTGTCTCAAGAACATAAAGATAATCTTAAACAGCAGCAGCAAAGTTGAGCTTAGATTGGGTCTCAGAAGCATCCTGTTACAGGCAGTGCTGGTTTGTGTGCAGCTCAGTGTGCTAGGTGAGTAGCTGCACATTTAACAGAAGTGCATTCTGTCAGGGGGAGTGATAGCATCCAGTCTAGCCCTTGTTGATTGGCTTGGGACCTGTGTTATCTCAGGGTCGATCACCTGTCCTTCTTAGGTGTGGGATCAGCTGCTAGCTACACTGTGGTTCCCACCTCTGGACCTTGCAGTTTAGTCCAAAAGTCACAGGCAGAGGCAGCTGCTGAAGCTAGTGGCAGTACATTGTCACAGATGAGCCTGTGTCCTCACACAGCATGTACTCCCTCCAGGAATGCCAAGCAAGATGTGGACGATGAGTACGGCGTGTCCCAGGCCCTTGCTCGTGGCCTGCAGTCCTACTATGCAGTGGCCCATGCAGTCACAGAGAGAGTAGATAAGCAGTCAGCCCTCATGGTCAACGGTGTCCTCAAACAGTACCAGGTAAGGCCAGAGGCAGCAGGGAGGCCGGGTGGTTGGTGGCTGGACTTAGGCAACACTCACTTTTCCTGAAGAGCCATAATTTTCCCATCTGGTTTTGGTTTGGTTTGGTTTCCTCTGAGATAGGGTCTCACTATGTATTCCAGAATGGCTTAGAACTCAGTATGTAGCTCAAACTGGCCTCAAACTCAACAGAGATCACCTGTCTCTGTCTAATAAAGGTGTATAACACTATAGTCAGATAGTTTTCTCATCTAAAGCATCTATGGTCAAGTAGTTTAGCTGCCAGAAGGCATTAAAACTTCAGGGAGCTACCAGGTACCAGGCAGGGGGACATTGTGTGCACCCCCCACGGAGCAGGTGTGGGCCTCACAGGGATGTTCTGCAATATGACCCAGACCCAAGGTTACCTGGAACTTTGAACAGGACTTTTTTCTGGGAGCAGAGGAACGATCTTTCTTGTGAGAGGGTTTTCTATGGGGGTGAAAAGACCATGGTTCTTAACTGTTTTCAGCCTCGCTAGGAAATTCTTTTTTTTTTTCTGTGTCTGGTAGTCCTGTCTCATCTCTAAGGTTCCAAAAGGGAGCCAGCCTCACTCAATCCAAAGATTATGTATCCCTGTTTTTATTTGGTTGTGGCCTCTGTTCTTGCCACTCTCCCTAGGAGAACTGTGCGATTATGTGCCAGTGTAGATCCCAGAGGCAAATGAGCATTCACTAGAACTTTCTACAGGCCACTGTAATGATAGGCTTACATGTTGCCCCTCCTACTTAGTGTGTAAAGACAATGGCCAAGCTTTCTCTTCTTGTGCTATATTCAACTCAAATGCTTTGGAAAATCCTCGATTAAAAAAAAAGAAATCTGGGGCTGGAGAGATGGCTTAGTGGTTAAGAGCACTGGCTGTTCTTCCAGGGGTCCTGAGTTCAATTCCCAGCACCCACATGGCAGCTCACTACTGTCTGTAACCATACTCCATGGAATCTCATACTTCTGGTGTGCAAAGCAAGTGTACATGTATATACTAAGTAAATAAATCTTAAAAAGAGAGAGAGAGAGGAGAGAAATCTTGAGCTGGCCAGTGGTGGTGCATGCCTTTAAGCCCAGCACTCAAGATGCAGAGGCAGGAGGATCTCTGAGTTCAAAGTCAGCCTGGTCTTCATAGTGAGTTCCTGGACAGCCAGGGCTACACAGAGAAACTGTCTCAAATGAGGATCAGGATTCAGATCTCTAGAACGGACATGAAAGCCAGGCAAGTAGTGTGGCCACTATAATCTCAGAGAGGTAGAGATGGCATCTGCAGGGCAATCTGGCCAGCTAGACTTGCAGACTATAGAGTTCTGGGCTCAGCGGGAGGGCCTGCCTCAGTGAGCATTGAGCATGGTGGTAGTGGTCAGGCTAACTGCTAACCAGCATCTGGCCTCCACACACACACATGCGTGCACACGTGACCTGCATGTAGGTGACCCATGCCCACTCTCGAGCATGTCTTCTGAGATCTTCTTTATCTTAGAGGTAGAGAGCAGACTCATTTGGTTAAGAGCACTTGTTGCTCTTGCAGAGGACCTGCGTTTGATTTTCCGCACCCATATGGTGGCTCAAATATGTAAGTACAGTCTCAGGGGATCTAATGCCCTCTTCTGTCTTCCACAGGCACCAAGCACACATGTTCACATACATGCAGGCGAAATACTCACACATATAATTATTAAACAAATAAGTTGAAAACAAAATATATTCAGTCATAAATAGGTTGATTTCTGCGGTGGCATCTCATTTGTGTGGTCTCTGTGACTTCCACTCTGTTATCCTTTGGTCAGGGCCAGAATTTTGTAGAGAGGCCACCAGCCTCATCTGCAGATACTTGTAAAAGAGGTCTGGAGTTCAGGCAAGCTCTGTGAGCAATTAGAGATGCAGTGAGGGTGGGGTTAGTGGTTTAGATGAGTCCAGTACAGGGTGCAGAAGAGATTCAATCTACAACAAAGGCAAGAAAGCAAACAGCTGGATTGGATCATGTTGACAGGAGAGCCTGGGACTCTGCTACAGTTAGTTATGTTATTCTTTTGATATTTCTTACAGGGCAGAGTTCCTTGTAGGGTAGCCACAGACAGCATATTTGTTGTATGAACTTGGTCCTTGCATTTCTGCCCTTTCAGATCAAGGGCTTGGAGTGGCTGGTGTCCCTTTATAACAACAACCTGAATGGCATCCTGGCTGATGAGATGGGGCTGGGGAAGACTATCCAAACCATCGCACTCATCACATACCTCATGGAGCACAAGCGCATCAATGGGCCCTTCCTCATCATCGTGCCTCTCTCGTATGTATGAGCCTGACTCCATTCAGCCTGGTTGCAGCACGGGTTTCTTTTTCCTGCAGGGCAGAAATGGGTGTCCAGAGCATGGCACAGGGTTGGAGCTTCTCTGTGGCCACCTTCCATCTGTGTGTACACAGTCTTTACAGTTGTGGCTACCTTCTGCCTCTCTTTACGTGGCTCTACAGAATAGGATGATAGACTGCTTTAGTACTGTCTGAGTTTCTGAGTAAGAGGACTGCAGTGCATTTGTTTAAGAGACACACATCAACCTGTTGCTAACTGCCTCTAGTTGTGAGAGGCAGGTGTGTGGAGCCCACCCATATTCCATGGGTCAGCTCCTAGCGATTTTTGTAGTGGCTGTCCGCTTGCTCCTTTCAGGGGAATTGGTACAGGCTACCTTTGGCTCTGTTAAGCAAAAACTGCTGTACTGTTTTGTATGCATTGTGCCCTTCGTGGGGCCCGATGTCCTTTTGTATTGTGTCTCAGTTTGGTATACATAGCACAGGTGCCCAAGCTTGCATGTATCAGCCATCTCAGAGAGTCTCCGACTCACCACTTCTTGGTTTCAGCAGTTCTGGAAATCTGTTAGCTTCAAAAAATAGTTCATCTGCCTCATCCTCCCTAGGACCAGCTCCCTCTGACCTAGCCTAGGTTACGCTTCTGGCCCTAATCAGTCCCTGGCCTAGGGGATGGTCTATTCCTATTGTCTCTTTGTATGACTAGGCTTCATCCTAGAGCGCTCCCTGAGCTCGCTATAAGTTCATTCAGGGCCACTAGTCTCAAATCTTAGTCCTTTACAAACTTGTCACATTTGAGGCTTGGGTAGGAAGTTTGTCCCTGGGTCAGGGTTTGTTTGAAGTCTCGGGGGTTGTGTTCCACCCACTTTATGTGTCAACAAAAATCTGTGAACTGAGGATTTCCCTTTTTTGTGGGGTGGGGGATGTGGGGGATGGTTTCTCTGTGTAGCCATGGCTGCCCTGGAACTCACTTTGTAGACCAGGCTGGCCTCATACTCACAGAGATCCATATACCTCTGCCTCCCAAATGCTGGTACTAAAGGTGTTCACGGTAATGCCTGGCTTGGATTTCAGTTGTTTTGGGGTTTTGTTTGTTTGTTTTTCAGAGAAGAGGCATTAAATATTTATTAGTTTATTTACAATTGCATGTAGTATAAGAATTCAAGAGTTTAATCCAATTTTCAGATTATATCTCTTAAACATTCTTCATTCTGTTAAAGGATAAATTAAATATCCTTCTAAAAAGTGTATTATTTATTTTATGAGTACTTTATATGTTTTTACACCTGCAGGCCAGAAGAGGGCACCAGATTTCAATATAGATGGCTATGAGCCACCAGTGGTTGTTGGGAACTGAACTCAGGATCTCTGGAAGAACAGACAGTGCTCTTAACTGCTGAGCCATCTCTCCAGCCCCAATATCCTTATTTTTTAAGTAGCTGGTGCCCTACTATAAAGAAAGAAACGGCAAAATCACATTCAAAGTACACAGTCATCATCGCCAGTAACCTCCATTTGTTTTCCATGGAAAAATGGCAAGTTCTTCCCCAGACCCTCCTCATAGTGGCTGCGGCGGACCATGGAGGTGGTGAATCTCTGCTCTGGCCCAACATGGTGCTACTGGAAGCTTAGGGAAGAATGCAGAGAAGGAAGGTGGAAGAAACATTTAACTAATAATAATAAAAAAAAAAATCAGAGGCCGCTCTCTGATTTTTTTTTTATTATTATTATTAGTTAAATGTTTAGTAGTGGTAACCAGATTCTAGCTGATGCCCCATTTCTTCTGTACTACAGACATCACAGCCACCACACAGTAGGAGTCCTACCTGCAGTGATCATTCCAGGGCTGTTCTGAACATGACCATGTTTCTCCATGGTTCTGTCTTAATGTGCTCATTATAGTTCTACCACTAGAAAGAGCTGCCTCTTTTTCCCATTTGCTTAACTCCTTACATGAGCTCTCATCTTTGTTCTGTTGGTGGGTGACAACAGCCATAGACTCAGTAAGAGGCCCGTTGCACTTACCTCTCAGTTTTTCTTTGATACAACGTTTGTTATTAATTTAAGATCCAGTCCCAGTTGAGGGGCCAACACTGCCATGATGCTACAAAGAGTGCATTCTCATCTCACTTACTTCCGTTTGTTCCATTATTCTCTCCAGGCTCATTAGTTGTTAGGGCTCCTTTATGGCCTCTAGCCTGTCATGGTGCTCCAAATTTCCATAATTTTGACATTGATAAATCCCAGGCTGCCCTTGAGCTCAAGATTCTGCCCTAGCTTTCTGAGAGCTGCTGCACTGCTTTTTGTTCGAGGTGCTGGGTATGGAGCCAACATTTTAGGATGCTTGTCAAGTGGTCTGCCTCGGCACCATACCCTAGGCCATGTGTGGACATGTGTTTCCCAGGCTCTTGCTCTGTCTATCCTCACTTTGGCTTCCTTGGGATTTCCTTATGGTGAGATTGTGCCTGTGGCTATGGAAGTGAAATACCCTCTTTTTTTTCTCTGTATGTTGCCCACAACAACCCTGACCATGCCACTCAGGCAGAATTATTGCTGGGTGCTTGTGTTTTTTTCCTACTGCTTTGTTCTATCGGGTGCTCAGGCCTATGGATATGGAGCTGTGTTCTCAGTAGATGCTGCAAGCAGCACCTGGAGTTCTTCCTTCCATGTTCCATTAGTTATCACTGCGGACAGGTATGTTTATGCCTTAGCCTATCCATTTACACTGGTTCATTTCTTTTGTTTTTCCAGCTGTTCTGATTTAGCCTCTCTAACTGCCATTCCTGTCGCTGTAGCAGGCCCTGCCTGAAGTTAGACCACTTATTGCCTTTTGTCCCAGCTGATTTCCCCTGGTTCCTTTTTCCATTTCCTGCCCCAATTCTGGATCAGCTCCTTCCCTAAGGAGCCCCAATATTAGAAACCGTGCTTTGTATTCATGAGGCTAAGGCAGGAGGATTTTTACTAGTTTGAGGCCAGCCTGGGCTGTAAGATGTTCCAAGCTTGTCTGGATATAGAATGAGACCCTGTTTCAAGAAACACAAAAAATGAGGATTATTATAGAAATATAACTTAGTTAATAATGTTTATTATTAAAGCCTGTAATTATTATGGTAGTATTTTCTAACTCACTACTGAATCAGTAAAGACAGAGATACCTGTTCTATTTTAGAATAGCTTTATGTTACCTGGTGCTGGGCAGATAGTACCCACTAAGCTACCTCTGTCTACCAGCTCCCATTCCATGCCATCTGTTTTAATAATTTCTACCTGGGCTACTTCCCATCCATAATTCCATTGATAACTGCTTATTCTTTTTCATATGGGCTGCTTTCCTCCATCCATGCCATTTTGGCCATGTGCTCCTCTCCATGCTAATCCATCGCAGCTCTGCCATCTTTCTCCCAACACCTAAGTAAAGCTACAACTGCCTATACCTATAGGTGTAGGAGATCAGGGCACCTTCCTGGTCTCCTCCTGTCTTGCTGTTTGTCTCCAGGTGGTGTCCTCAGCAGCAGCCTCTGCCAGTCGCAGTAAGCAACCAATTCAGGGTGGCGCTGCAGGCTGCCTGCTATGTCTGAAGCTTGCAGACATAAGCTTTGTGGTGAGAGCCTGTCTTAGTTACTTTACTGTTGCTGTGACAAAACACTATGACCAAGGCAACTCTTCAAAGAAAGCATGTAATTTGGCTTACCATTTCAGAGAGTTAGAGTCCATAGTGGTAGAGCAACAGCATGGTGGCAGGAACACTTGAGAACTCACATACTAACCCACAAGCACAAGACAGAGAAAGACACTGGAAATAATGTGGGTTTTTGAAACCTCAAAGCTTCACATCTTTAGGTGTGTAAGAGTGTGTAAGGTGTGTGAGAGGAATATACCTCTTACAATAGATCACACCTCCTAGTCCTTCCCAAACAGTTCCAGCTACTGAGTCCAAATATTCATATATATGAGCCTTTGGAGCCATTCTCATTCAAGTCACCATAGCACTCCTCTCCGTGGTGAAGAAGCCCCTTGCTGCCTCCTCAGTGGTTGCGACCTGGACTGACCTGCAGCCTTTCCACATGATTCCTGTCCAGGCATACGTTCATGCTGTCCATCCCACCTCCTTCTGGCTGAAAGCACTCCCTGTGCCCCGCTGTGTCTTAGTGTTCAATATCCAGCTGTCCGTCCCACCTGCTGCATTGCTGCTTCCATGTGAGTTCCTTGCCTGCCTTGTACTCTTGAGTCTGCCCCTGATCTCTTTGCCCATGACATGCTTCATTGCAGGTCTTCATATCCCTCAAGTCTTTCCTCTCTTTATGCCTCTCTTGTTCCGTCGTGCTCTGCAGTAGCAATAAGACCAGGGACCTCTGGCTGGACCTTCCTAAGAGCCAGCCTCCTGCCTGGGCACAGGGTATGCGCAGGGCCTCCCAGGGCTGCCAGGCATCCAGGCTCCCCAAGTGTTTTCTTTTTTGGTTTTTCAAGACAGGGTTTCCTCTGTGTAGCCCTGGCTGTTCTATAATTCACTCTGTAGACCAGGCTGGCCTCAAACTCAAGAGATCCACCTGCCTCTGCCTCTTGAGTGCTGGGATTAAAGACATGCCACACCACCTCTTCGTGTTCTTCTTACTCACTCTTACTTGGTGACAGCTGTGTTGACTACTTGCCTGATGGCTGCAAAGTGACTACACTGTTTGTATCATCTCACCTGGATTGCTAGGAGGATGGCAAAGTAAAGGGCCCTGAGCAGCATATTTCAGCTAAGTAGACGCTTTGCCAGTGTGATGCTAGCAGCTTGAAGTGCCATTAGATGGGACTCTCTTAAGCAGTAGCCAGAAAGCCTAGCAGTGGAGTTTCTGGGAGGAAAATCAAATGTGGGAAGCAGGCTCTGTCTTAAACTCCTCAGCTGCTACTTTCCCCTGCTCAGCCTCCTAGGATTCTCTTAAGAGGGAAGGCAGGCTCCGAGGACTGTCCTGAGGAAAGGCTTGGTTCTGTTCCCTCCCCTGTGCTCCTGGTCTGTGCTTAGCCCCTGCTTTCCCCTTCTGCCACAGGATCATCTGTAGCCTCCGTTCTCAGTCTCAGGTGGTCACAGGATCACCATGTCTCCAGTATTCCCTGGTGTTAAACCACCATTTCTGGCATTGGGAGGCCAGCCACAGCTGCTGCAGCTGCAGCAGCTCTCCAGCATCTCACATATTCATTCACCGAGGGGCATGACCCCACTGAGGCTAACTGCCTAATATCTGCTCCTGGCCCTGCTGTGGGCTGGCTGTACCAGCGCCATGTCCTGGACTAGAATGTCCCCTCTCGCTGCTGCCACCACTACCCACCCCTGTTTCTGTGCACAAAGCTCCATAGGACACGTGGAGTTTACTGTGGCAGCTTTAAAGACCAGCCCAGTTGGCTTCACTCTTGCCTAGCATAGTAGAACTTGATTGTCCCTTCCTTTCCCTTTAGGACGCTGTCAAACTGGGCATATGAATTTGACAAGTGGGCCCCCTCGGTGGTGAAGGTTTCCTACAAGGTACGTCAGAGGCTGAAGAGGCTTCCTCCAACTAGTTAGGAGACATGAGCTTGAGCAAGGAGGGTGAAGGCGCACAAAGAGAGGGGCTAGTATGTGTCAGAGGCACAAGGGTCCCAGGCCTGGTGCTCATTTGATACACATGTGGTCACAGTGGTAATGCAGAATGGGTAGTGTCTTATTTTGAGTCATACCATTTATTTGTTTGTTTATTGATTATATTCTGCTTGCATGTACACCTGAATGCCAGAAAAGGGCACCAGCTCTCATTATAGATGGTTGTAAGCCACCAAGTGGTTGCTGGGAATTGAAATCAGGACCTCTGGAAGAGCAGACAGTGCTCTTTAACGTCTGAACCATCTCCACCCCCCATATTTTTTTCTTCTTTTTTTTAAGTCAAAATCAAATGCTTCATTTGTGGAACATGGTTTCAACAATTCATTAGTATACATAAAGACATGGGTGAGTTCACTGAAGTTGTCTTCAGCTGATCTCTGATTTAAACCCATTTCCAGAGAATAGACTAGAGAATAGAATGAACACGGATCTTTGGCATGGCGTGGTGCTGGGTGTCCTGGGTACCTAGCCAGGCTTGTGTCAAGTGCCATGTCAAATTGATAAATGCTCAGCCCGCTGGGAGGAGCCTGCAGCCCTCAGTGGGCATCAGAGCTGACATAGAAAGAGCACCACCAGTACACAGCAGCAGTTACTTCTGCCTCAGGCTGTGGTGTAAGGACGTTGTTGTGTACAAGAGCTTGCTGTGTCTAGAAGGTAGTCATGGAGGAGACTGGGACTAGAAATGAGGAAGGGCCTGGCAGTGGGGAGGAGGCCAACCGAAGTGACCAGTGGCTATTGCCAGGTAAAGGAGGGGCCTAAGTTTGGGACCACTGAAGAGGGGAATTGATCAGTCACTAGGAATGTAGCTGATGGTGGTACAGGCAGCACGGTTTCCCAGAGTGTCCTCTGTCCACTCCTTCCATGAAGGTGGTGTTCTACGAGGCAGGGTCAGAGCAGGCTGCAACCTTGCCTAGCATCATCCCAGGCTGCCTCTGGCAAGAACCAGCTTGCTTCTTCAAGAACACTAATCAGGAGTAAAACTTTGTATCCTGTCTCTACAGGGCTCTCCAGCAGCAAGACGAGCTTTCGTCCCCCAACTTCGCAGTGGGAAGTTCAATGTCTTGCTGACCACCTATGAGTATATCATCAAAGACAAACATATCCTGGCCAAGGTAGTGTGTCCTCATACAGAACACAGCAAGCCTAGGGCTCAGGCTGTCGAGATCTTAATGCCTGATGTCATCTATGTCATAGCTCCTTGCAAGTGATCCCTTGGTACTCTATCTGCATGTATACCAAAACACAGCTGCTGTGCACTTGTGTAGGGAGGCCATGGCCTGGTTCCCTCAGCATCCTGAGTTCTGGCCGGGATCCCCCATAGGACCTGGACAAGTGCCCTTCACCCATCTCCTAGGACGTTTGTGCAGAAAGACTCTTCTTCACAGTGTCTCCTGACCTTCTTGAGTGACCTGTCAGGTTAAGATAGGCCACTCTCGTGATCCTAGCAGGCCTCTTCTTGGTTGGGCCTTATAACATTGACTATGGGTTCTAATGGACTCTTGGAGAAATGATTGAGGGTGAGCACTGTGGTGAAGGTATCTTAGGGTGCTGGGCTGGAATGGGTCCCCTATCCAGGGAGGCTGCGGCTTTGCCTGATATTATTAGAGCTGTAAGTGGTATGAAGTTACCTAGTGTCTATCTGCCCAAGCTTGTTTTCCTACTGTAAACTTTGATGTAAGCTTAGGGGCAGGACTGGGCCCCCAGGGCTGCTGTTCCAGCAGAGTATTAGTTTAAGAGCTCACTTGGGGATGGGCCTATCTGCCCATAGCCGCATTTTCCTACATACTTCTAGTAATGTGTGCGCTCACTGCAGGTTCCTGGGTGAGAGGTGAGTATACCAAGATCCCAGGAGTTGGCCCCAGTGCAGCCTTTACATATAGGCCATCCACAGGCCACCACCTTCAGTGCAGTACAAGAGCAAATCCACCCCAAGGCACGCAGGAGGCCCTGAAAACACTCTTACTTACTGGCAGTGACATAAATGCTGAGCTTCTGTATCTTCACATTGAACTTTGGGCAGGCCTGTTGTGAGAGATAGAAGTGGTCTCTAGTTGGAATTTTCAGATTGACGCTTCACAAGCAGTCTCACCTCATCTAGCTCTGTGCTTGAGGTGTGGAGTTATTGGCAGACTCTGGTAGACAGGCCTGGCACTGCCCCTACCTGGAAGCCGCATTCAGATTTGCTTGTATGCTGCCTGCTGCAGGGGCATGACTGCTTGTGGCCAATGTTCCTGGCACACACACACACACACACACACACACACACACCCATTGTGGGATGGGGTACTAAGCACTACTTCCTATCATTGTAATGCGAGAGTACTTTTTCCTCTGTACCTGTCCCCACAGCCTAGGCTTAGCTTCTCAGGCATGTGTCCACTCCTTGTGTTAGAGAGTCTGTGCCTGCTGCTTCCTGCTGGACATGCTCCTTACTTGGGAGCCCTGCTACCTCCTCTCAGCACCTCCTTTCTGCCTTGCAGATCCGCTGGAAGTACATGATTGTGGATGAAGGCCACCGCATGAAGAACCACCACTGCAAGCTGACGCAGGTCCTTAACACACACTACGTGGCCCCTCGTCGCCTGCTTCTCACAGGCACACCACTGCAGAACAAGTTACCTGAGCTCTGGGCACTGCTTAACTTCCTGCTGCCCACCATCTTCAAGAGCTGCAGCACCTTTGAACAGTGGTTCAACGCACCCTTTGCCATGACCGGAGAGAAGGTGAGCTTGCCTGGGATATGAGGTGGCGGCTGAGTGACCCAGTGGCCACATAGCAGCAGAGTCCATGCTGTGATAGCAAGCAGCTACCAGGACTCTAGCACGGCAGAAACCAGATGTCCCAGTGGGAACTGCGGACCCTCCACAAGGATCAGGTCTTGCTGTGAGGGTGGAAAGCTCAGAAGGTTTAGTTAAGACATCTCTGGGCAGAGGCTGGAGAGATGGCTGTGGTTAAGAGCACTGACTGCTCTTCCAGGGGACCTGGCTTCAATTCTCAGCACCCACATGGCAGCTCACAACTCTCTGTTACTCCAGTTCCAGAGGCTCTAACACCCTCACACAGACATGCATGCAGACAAAACATGAGTGCACATGAAATATAAAAGAAAAAGAAAGACATCTGTGGGGCCAGGCTTTGACAATGTTTATTAAGAACACTACAGTTAGCATCTTGTACTTGGGGTGCTGTGGGTAACTGGGTCCAGAGACCACAGTCTCCATATTGTGGGAGGAGAGGTCTTCCTGGTACAGCCTCATCTTTATCTGAGCCTTGAACCCACAACATTGGTATTGATGGATTTTGAAACAAGCCATATGCATTGTGAAGGGGTTAAACAACTAGCCAGTGAGCCTGGGCAGAACCAGAGGCTGATGACAACTGCCATTGTTCTCCTTCATCCCTCCTCAGGTCTTAGAAAGGCATCCGTTGCTCTCACCCACAAGTTCCCCATTCTCCCTGGAGGCATGCTGAGGCGGCAGTCCTTGAGAAAGGAATTTGATAGTTTCTTCAGTCTGTGTAATGAAAGAAGCTCTTCTCTGAGGCTCCATTCCCAGAGCCAAGGCCCAAAGCTATAGTCATACTTCTCTTCCATGGCGCTGAAGCTCTAAAGGGATGGCCAGAGAGCAACAGAAAAGCTCAGGCCTATATCTTCTTAGTTGCCTCTCCTTCCCAGTTTTCATTTAAAATGGAACCCTAGGAGCCTGACTTGTTGGCATAGAAGCAGCCAGATCTCTGAGTTTTAGCCTAGTCTACATAGCAAGTTCCTGGACAACAGTGTTATATAAACAGAGAAAGCCTGAATGGAAAAACAATAAATAAATGAATGGCTGGATGGATGAATAAGTGAATGAGTGAATAAATGAAAGAAAGAAATGGAGCCCTGGCTAACAAGATAGCTCAGCAACTAAAAGCACTTACCACCAATCCTGATGATTTGAGTTTGAGTCCTAGGACAACAAAGTGGAATCAGAACCAATTGTGAGAAATAAGTAAATAAAAAACATTAAAAATGTTAAACAGTATAGCATCTTAGTTGAAGAGTGGCATTCTGGAGAAGCAGTGTTACTTACTCAGTACTGTCTGTCAGGCTAAGAGAGGAAGGTGTGATCCCTGGTGTCAGACTCACTTATAGCACCCTCCAAGTTGGCTGGCTTTAGGCAGCTGATGCTGTGATTGTAAACACCAAGTTGCTAACACCTTACGGAGACCCAGCAGCCAGCTGTCATGCATTTGTTCATTTGTTCTTGTGATGGCATGGAGGCATTAGGAGAGATGGTACCTAGCCCGTAGGCATTGCATAAAATACATGGAAGGTAGCAGATTCCTTGATTTCCCAAAGAAAAGGGTGTTCCTTTTCTCCCAAAGGACACACAGGTACCAAGTGCCAGCTGCTGTCCATGGCACAGCTGCCTCTTTCCACGCCTTGCTTCCCTCTTTTGAAGGCAGTGTTTTAATTTACTGTCTGGCTCCCAGGTGGACCTGAATGAAGAAGAGACCATCCTCATTATCCGTCGCCTACACAAGGTACTACGACCCTTCCTGCTGCGGCGTCTCAAGAAAGAAGTTGAAGCCCAGCTACCTGAGAAGGTGGGTGTTGGCAGAATCTGCAGGTGTCGTTTGCAGGGCTGTTCCCAGGGTGAGTGCAGTCAGGTGATCCCTCCCTGGCCCCACACTCATGCTTGAGTTTCCCTGCCCAGACTCTTGTCCACAGATAGAGGCCATTACTCAGGTTGCATCTACAGAACATTGCCAGTGGTACGGGCTCTTTCCCTGTGTGGCCATACTTAGCTTGCCTCACGCATTATTTTCTGGCAAGCTATGGGGCGGCTTCCAGAGTATGAGCAACTTGCCCATTTTGGCCCAGAATCTCTTCTTATTTCAGATCTCCCTAGTTTCAGGGTTCTTCCCTAATACCCCAGGTTCTAATCACAGTGCTGGTCACAAGGCCCCAATTGGTGGCACAAGCACCTCAGTCTGAGATTGTATGGCCTGAGAGTACTCTTTGCTCCACAGGTAGAATATGTCATCAAATGTGACATGTCAGCCCTACAGCGTGTGCTCTACCGCCACATGCAGGCCAAAGGTGTGCTGCTGACTGACGGCTCTGAGAAGGACAAGAAGGTTTGTTCCAAGTCTCTGTTCCCTCCTGATTGCCTTGAGGAGGGGAGCGTGGGTCAAGAACACCGTGGGACTCAGAGCACTGAGCACTGTGCCCGGGAGGCCTCACCTGATCCCTCAGGCATTCACACAGCCACGGCTGTGATGCTGGGTGTCTTTCGAGTGTGTTTCCTGAGCTGCTTTCTGATGCTCCCCTTGTTTGAGATACTACCTTCCTCAAGACAACAGGAGACAGGGCTAACTGACCCAGAGCTGGACTAGCCAGCAGGTGCAGAGCTGCCTCAGCCTTCATGGCCTCTGTGCCCTTCCTCTTGGTATTACTGAGGGCATGCCGACCCTGTCTTGGGAGCGCTCTTCCTTCCGTTCCTCTGAGCAGGCCTGGGCTTGACCCCTAGAGAAGTACCACTCTTTCCAATCTGTACCCAGCACCCCAGCCACAGCCTTAAGTGTGTCTTTGTTGTTCTCTCAGGCTGTTTTCAGCCCCTTTCTTACCTGTGGATTTAGATATAGTGCTCCTTGTTTCCCTTTCTGGCACAGGCCACCACTCCCTTCTTATTGTAGCTGTTGGCCATGTTTGCTTCCATTCATCCTGCGTGCCACGTAGACTGTTAGGACTTCTCAGAGACCCCACACGACACTACCTTCTCCTGCCCAGTGGCCCTGTTACAAAGATAACCATCATCTTGCTCTGGGCCTTTTTCCTACCACCCTGCCCACCTCCATCTTGGCCCAAAGACAGGACTCCGTTTTGGACCATTTCATGTACATTTGCAGGGAAAAGGTGGTACCAAGACGCTGATGAACACTATCATGCAGCTTCGCAAGATCTGCAACCACCCCTACATGTTCCAGCACATCGAGGTAAGGCCACAGTCCAGTGACCTGGCTCTTGAAACTGAGCTGCTTCTCCCCGATGCCTATGGGCGTATGTGTGCATGTAGAGAGAGGCCAGAGGTGGATGTCAAAATGTCTCTCTCTACTAATCTCTGCTTAGGTTTTTGAGATAGTATCTTTCATTGAACTTGGAGTCATTAATTGGCTAAGCAGGATGGCTGATGAGCTCCATGGATCCATTTTCTCCACCTCCATAGCTCTGGGGTTGCTGACATCAGCCACCAAGCCTGGCTTCTGTCTAGATGCCAGGTCTTCCTGATTGTACACTAGGAACTTTAGGGACAAAGGCATCTGTCTCCTCAGTCCTTAAGCTGTTCTTAAGAATAGCTTAAGGAGCTGGGTATTATAGTGCACTTCTTTCAACCCAGCACTCAGAAGGCAGACTAAGGTGGACCCTTTTTTCCAGGACAGCCAGGGCTGTCCTTGTCTCAAAACAATAGAAAAGGCAGCTGGCCATAGTACACTCATAAGGCAAGAAGCAGATGATTTCTGAGTTCAAGACCAGCCTGGTCTACAGGGCAGAAACAGGCTCCATAGAAACCCTGTCTCAGCTGGGCGTGGCAATGCACACCTTTAATCCCTGTGCTCAGGGAGTTTGAGGCCATCCTAGTCTACAAAGCAAGTTCAGGACAACCAGAACTGTTAGACGGAGAAACCCTGTTTTGAGACAGACAAGCAAACAAAAAAGGCATAAGATATATTCTCACTAGCCACCGTCTGTGCATCTGTATCTGTTGAATTTTTCTTTTGCTGGTACTTAGCGCGTGCACGTGTGTGTGTGTGTGTGTGTGTGTGTGTGTGTGTGTATGTGTGTGTGTGCGCGCGCGTACATCTGTGCTAATTGGAGGTATACTCAGGGCCATGCAAAAACATACTCTGACATTGGATGTGCCCAGTCCAATAGGTGCTTAACAAACCTATCATGGAACTGAAAATGAAAGTCTATAAAGTTCATTGTTTAAGACTCACTGTTAGGTGCTTTCTGTGGGTTTGGGGATTGTTACCTTGGGAAGTGTTTCCACTCGTGAACTGTGTTCCCAGGCAGGGCTCCCCCACCCCAACCCTCCCGCAGGGGGATTTATGAAGAGCTGCCATGGACATCAGTCAAGTCAAGCCCATAGTCATCATGAGTAACTGTGCTCTTGGAGAATTTGGACTCTTACTCTTGAAAAGCATGCATATGTCTATATTCTTGTACAGTTTCAAGGTCGTTCTAGACACTCTAGATTTCTTGCTGCCTTGGAGTGTAATTTCAGGGTGGTCTGAGGTGTTCACTTTGGTGCCGTACTTTTCTCGTCCTTCACAGGAAAAACATCAGGGTTGGCATTGCTACATTGAGGCCACTGCAGGTCACAGCTGACCACCAGTGTGAACTCAGCCCTCTTCTGTAGCAGTCTGCACCATGGGCTTGACTGGGCAGCCCCCTCCTGCCTTGGCGCTAATCCATCTCTTGTCCTATTGCAGGAGTCCTTTTCTGAGCACTTGGGGTTCACCGGCGGCATCGTGCAAGGGTGAGAAGCTTCCCAGCTCTGAGGGTGGGCAGGAGTCTGCCAGGAGGGTTTCTAGTCTTGTTCAGTGGCTTTGTCGGTGTGGTTAACATTCAGCTGGTAGCTGAGGCAGACTGGCCTTCAGAACATGGCTCCGCTGCCCACAGTATAACTGAGGCAGCTTCTGTGATACCTGAGCCTGCATTTACCCACTCTGCAGAAATACGCTTGATACTCTGTACAGCCATGTAAAGTGAGAGCATTTCCTGCTGCTTCAAGCACAGGCTCCGCTTTTTTGTTGTTGTTACTGTTGGGACATGGTCTCAAAGTGTAGACTACGCTTTTGTGTAACTGTGTAGCCCAGGATGGCTAATCATCTCCTTCCTGAAAGAGTTGAAGTCCTCTGCCTCAGCCTTCCAAGTGCTAGAGCCATAGGTGTGTGATAAGCATGCTCCTGTAAGTCCACACTTGGGTAGTCCATGGTGTTTATATGCCAGCTCCAGAACATCACAAAAGCCTTTTTGCTGATGAGGTTGCGCCACATTTTCAGCCATTTATGTGATTAGAAGGCAACGAGGGGGTTTTTGTTTGGTTTGTTTTTTGTTTTCCTGTGTTGGGGATCGGGCCAGAGTGTCACCATATTAGGCAAGTGCTTCACTGTCATGTGCATGCCCAGCCCAGCCCCTTGATTTTGAGGTAGGGTCTCTACACTGTGTTTGCTCTCATGTTCTGTTATAGCTGGGATCACAGGTGTGCACCACCAGCTTAGCTTCAGAAAGTCCTGTGGGCCTGTATATATTTGTCACATGGCTTTTAATCCGTCTCGGATTCCTGCTCTGTCCTGCTCTCCCTGCCACTCAGCTTGTTTCCACATGTTTAAAGCTAGAGGGAGTAAGACAGTGCTGGGATTCTCTAGTCTAGAGTCCACTCCCTAGTGTGAGCTGTTCTAGCCAAATAGTGGTAGACCAACCTAGGAACAGTTCCAGCTCATACCTACCCTCTCGGCATTGTTCTCTTGGGGAGCCATTTCTCTCTTTCTACCTTTACATAGGTTCTGGGGACTGAACTCAGGTCAGCAGATGTTCAGACAAATGCTTTACCCTGAGCTGACTCCCCAGCCCACTGGGCACCATGTGTAATGGCACTTATTTTATTCTCCTTTGACATGGTGAAATGATATGTACCTGTGTGGTTACTGGTAATGTGCCTTGACTAAGAGTGACCTGAGTTTAGCTGTAGGTATGGGTGTGTCTCCTGGGAAAGTCACTTTTTTCCCCTTGAGTCTGCCAAGTGGCCTGGAAGCAGTAGCACACATCTCCATAAGGCACACGTGAGTCAATAATCGTCTGAACATTCTCCCCTCTTCTGAACTCCATGCACTAGACTGGACCTATACCGTGCCTCAGGGAAATTTGAACTTCTTGATAGAATTCTACCCAAACTCCGTGCAACCAATCATAAAGTACTACTCTTCTGTCAAATGACCTCCCTCATGACCATCATGGAAGACTACTTTGCATACCGTGGCTTCAAATACCTCAGGCTTGATGGTAAGTGGAAGATGGTTTGCTTGAGAGATTCATTCCTGCCTTGAAGTCTAGTATAGACACCGAATCCAACAACATCCTAGCTGCTTGGAACAGGGAGGAGGACCTGAAGGTGTTTGTTTCCTGTTTGCTGGAGTCTTCACTACAGTGCTGGCTTCAGTGCCCTGGGTTCTGGCAGTACCATTTCAGCTGAAGTTACACAGACCTTTGTCACACGTGTGTGAACATAAGAGCATTGCTGAAATGGAGCCTTGAGAGTTCTCTGGCTCCCGGAGAGCTGTACCCAGGTGTATGCTCTTCTCCATCTTGGCCTCATCCTTAGATAGGCTGTACTGCTGCCCAGTGTTGGCATCAGAGACACCAGCTTTCACCCAGCCGTGGGCCAGCTGCCTTTCCCTGAACTGTTTTGCCATGGCCTCTCACAGGCCTGGCCCAGAGCTGAATGAGGCTTAGTTGCAATGGAATCATGGCCTTCTTGCAGGCAAGGTCAGACACTGCTCAGGAGGCTCTGTGTACCAGCTGCCACAATATGTCTTTCCACCTTTCCTTCCCTCCTTGAGACACTTCGGGGAGGAAGAGGTTCACATTGTTAAGAGAACATGGAGTCTGGGAGACCTTGTAGTTAGTTTCTTACACTGTCATTCTTGGAAGATAGACTTGGGGAGCTCAGGACCAACAATACTTAGCAGTTTTTTGTTTTCCTTGCAGAGCCTTTATTGGGCTTAGGAGCTGGGTTGCCTTACTCTAGATCTCTGCCTCCTCATGCCCACTCTACCTATCTCCTGGACCTTTTATACTGTTCTTATAGAGATGTGGTTTCAGGGACTACCAACCTGGGTTTGGTTGTTTCATGTTTTTGTCTGTTTCTGTGGAGCTTCATCCATGCCATGCTGCCCAGAACTCCCACATGCACTTCTGGCTCCAGCTCTTACAGTGCTTGCTCCAGGGCCACCTTTGCTAAACCAGCATCCTGTTCTGTGTGTTCACACATGTCAGTCCTGGCCAAACACTGCTGATGTCCAGATTGCTGGGCCTCTTCAGCTGCCTCCTCTTGTCCTTGAGAGCAATGGGTCCATCTTTATGCAGGTCCTATCCCCAGAAGAAGGGCCCCTGACAACTTTTATTTGTTTGGTGGGAGCATAGCTATTCAAGGAGTAGGAGAAGGTCAGGAACACGGTAAAATATCACAGGTAGGGCTACTTTCAACCTTGAGGGGCAAGTATGAGATACAGGCCTGTTATTAGTCTTCTGTGAACTGAGAGCCAAAGGAAGGCTGCGGTGGGCACAGCTTTTATGCCAGCCAAACCTGCTGCAAGAAAGTCGACAGTGAGTGCCAGCCCTGTGGCCAGTGGCTTATCTTACCACACTAGGCCACTAATGCTGAGGTACTTTGTACCTTGTCATGGTACAGCATTGGCCTTGTCAGCCACTTGGTATCCATCCTCATTCAGGACAGAGTGAACAAGAATCAGGGGTCATTGTACCTGCAGATGGCAGCCCAGAAGCCTGCCATCTTCCTCTTCAGTGGTTTGTGTCATACAGAATACAGCTGGTCTCTGGGCCCCATTTATCTCCTGAGATAGGCATAGTGGCATTCAACAACAACTTGCTGCATCTTCAGTTCCTGTCTGATTGGCACTGACACACTGTAGAAGGGCCACAGCTGTGTCTCTCATACCCTGCAACACTATCTCTGACGCCAGAGCACAAGCTCCTTTGGCTCTCCCACCCTAGGTCACCCTCCTGACCCTCTTCTCCTGTGCCTATCAGGAACCACAAAAGCAGAAGACCGGGGCATGCTGTTGAAAACCTTTAATGAGCCTGGCTCTGAGTACTTCATTTTCCTGCTTAGTACCCGTGCCGGGGGCTTGGGCCTCAACCTGCAGTCAGCTGACACTGTGATCATCTTTGACAGTGACTGGAATCCCCACCAGGTAAAGGCACCGGCAGAGAAGGGATATCTCCTGTCTTAGTGTCCACTGCCTTCTGGATGCTCTCCCTAGCCTGGGAGCTGTGAAAATACATTTGTTGGACCACTGTGGTCAGTGTGGGTTTCCTTCTTGCTTTCCAAAGTGGAAATGACTTTGCATCCTGACTTGGGGAGGGCACTCTTTCCAACAATCATATAGTTATTTCTAGGTACATATGGGTAGGAGCCAGCTCAGGGATGGAGCCCTTGTCTAGTCTACATGGCTCCAGGCTCTATCCTTAACATTACAGCAACTATACAGTTTTTGGATACGTAGCTGAGACAAAAGTAGGGAACAGGCTAGTTACTGTAATGATGAGTACTTGTCGTGGGGTGCAAGCCTTCCAGACCTGTCCTGTATCCCCCACACAGTCCCACTCAGTGAAACCAGACCTGGGCAAGCAGTGTGCTCTGTTCATTACCTCTTTTTGCTCCTTAGCACATTTGCCCTGAAAACCCCTGCCAGAATGTGCAGGGTGTGCGTATTTGTACATTGAACAGTTTGAAGATAAGTACCAAATTTGTCCTCTCTCCTCATACAGGTATACAATATTGGTTTAGTTTACAATGCTCATGCTAGTATACGAGGTGAACTGGTGTCCCAATTCCCATCATCATTCCACATCTGCCAGGTACACACTGGTAATGCATTTGACGTGTACTGGTCTTTTCCCATTTCATTTAGCCATCATTCATTGCCTGTCACCTCTCCTGAGGACACATGTAAAGAAAGCTATTTGACTGCTGCCTCTGCTGCAAGGTGTCCCAGAACTGGGCAGCTCCAGGACATCTTCCTGCTAGCCAAATGGGCAGGTGTCTATTTTTTCTGTTTATTCAGTGGCCATTAGTATCCCAAGGGAACTTTGTCTGTCTTGGGAAACTTTTACAGGACCCTATAGTCCAGCAGTTCTCAACCTCTAGGTCACAACTTCTTTGGGAAGACCATTGGAAATGCAGATATCTACATTACAGTTCTTAATAATAGAAAAATTACAGTTCTGGAGTAGCAACAGAAATAATTTTATAGTTAGGGTCACCACAACATTAGGAACTGTGTTAAAGAGTCGCAGCATTAGGAAGGTTGAGAACCACTGCTCTAATCAGATCAGCTCTGAAAATAAGTGATTGCCACAGTAGTGAGATTGTTGTCTTCACATGCTGGCCACTTCTGTGCGGCTGGCCACTCAGCACTGATAATCTCTGGCATGTCCTTGCCCCAGACCTAGTAGAAATTATCTATTTGATGGGTAAATGGCTGAGGCAGCCACTATGTCATTTCTGTGATGAGTGCCAATGTAGTTTCTGCTCAGTTGCTACTGACGGTCCATATCCTAAGAGATGGTCAGGTAATAACGGTAGCCAGGCAGAGGCCACTGCAGTGCCAGCCAGGGGCACGTCATCAATGCCAGTCTTACCAGCAAGCATACTTATATACCTGGGGCTGTTACACAAGTCCTTTCTGTTTTTATGAACAAGAATGAGTCTTAAATTGAGGAACATTGTTGACACTCAGCCTGTCCACACAGCTGGCCCAAAGAGAAATTCAGTCTCACTTTGTTAGGAATGACAGAAAAAATATTGGCAGCTTTGAGTGCCACACCATGGAGCTAACTACCCTAATCCCAATACCCATCTGCTCAATCTATACTGAAGCTGAGAGAACCCCTGTGTATCAAATCAGCATAGTAGGATTTGAGGCTCTTAAATGTTTGGTTTAGGTCCAGGTTACACAGAAGTGTCAGAGTCCATGGCTATGCTGTGGAGCTGTGACAAAGGCTTATGGTTACCCTCAAAAAAAGAAGTATCCAGACCTGGAGCGGTGGCTCAGCAGTTAAAACATATACTTGCAGAGCACCTGAGTTTCGTTCCCAGCATCTGTGTTGGGTGACTCACAGCATCTCTAACTCCAGGTTCTCCGACACCCTCCTTTGTGCTCACACACTCTTAAACTTAAAATAGAATGTTGGGTGGGGGAGCAGTATTTGTTGGGTCCCAGGAAAGTAGTAGTTATGGGCTCAACAAGGCGCCTCCAGGCTCCTAGGGACAGGTCACAGGTCCCATTCTTGGGTTCCTGGCTATTGAGACTGCAGGCCAGGGTTAAGCATGATGTCTAGAATTCAGCAGACTGACCCGCCTACTTTCCCAAGGACCTGCAAGCACAGGACCGTGCCCATCGAATTGGGCAGCAGAATGAGGTGCGTGTGCTCCGCCTGTGCACCGTCAACAGCGTGGAGGAGAAGATTCTGGCCGCTGCCAAATACAAACTCAATGTGGACCAGAAGGTGATCCAGGCAGGCATGTTCGATCAGAAGTCGTCCAGCCATGAGCGGCGTGCCTTCCTGCAGGCTATCCTGGAGCATGAGGAGCAGGATGAGGTGAGCACCATGCCAGCCTGGCCCAGCGTGAGTGGTGGATGCATGAGGCTTTTGTTTTCGGTTTTGTACCTTTTTTGCACTCTTGTTTTTTTGTTTTTGGTTTTTTGGTTTTTATTTTGATTTTTTGCGTCCCTTTGGAGTAAAGGGAGTGTGGGCTGAGCAGAAAGAGGATGCGCACTTGCTTTCCCTTTGAAGTGGGTTTTTTCGAAACTGCTGGTGACAGACGCCGCATTGACAGCTCTGGAGACTGAAGTCCTGTATTTATCCACAGAGCAGACACTGCAGCACGGGCAGCGGCAGTGCCAGCTTCGCCCACACTGCCCCTCCGCCAGCGGGCGTCAACCCCGACTTGGAGGAGCCACCTCTAAAGGTGAGAGGGGTAGTTCAGTCTCCACGCCCACTCAATTCTCGGCTTCTTGCTGAGACTGGCCAGCAAGGGCCTGACCCCACGGAGCGTGCGTGTGCGTATGTGTGCCTCTTGCTGACGTGTGGGATCCTCCACCGCAGCCAGCCTGGGACCTCCAGCTCATCAGCTCATCTCCTACGGACGGACGGATGCCACCGCTCGCCTCCGAGCCTGGCCACCACCAGCATAGCCGCACCACAGTCAGACTAAATCTTTTGCAATCTTGTAGGAAGAAGACGAGGTGCCTGATGATGAGACCGTCAACCAAATGATTGCCCGGCACGAAGAAGAGTTTGACCTCTTCATGGTGAGCACCTGGACTGGGGCCACACAGACTCAGTGATGATAGTGGTATCTCTGGAGCTGCTGGAGCTACTGCTGCTCCTCACATAGCTTCCTCACGCCTTGAGCTGGCCCTCGTGTTTTGGGAGTCATGAGGGACGCCCCCGACTGTATGTGACTCTTAGACTTTGTGGGCAGCTTGTCCAAAGGCTCCCTGCTTTTTATAGAGTTGAGTGGGCACGGCAGGCCGGAATGCTGTCTACAGAATGCCACAGATTCCCCCAGGTCCCCCCAATGCCGCTAGGTGCTAGTATGAAGTTTAGATGAAGCTCTTTCAGTGCCGTCTGAATTCAGTAGCCCTGATGTCTTCCTCCAAGGCGGTGCTGTGCACATACCTGTGCTCCGAGATCTTACCAAGGTCTGTTATAGGAGCCAGGTCGGGTCAGCCCCCAAAATGAAGCACTGTTGCATAACTTTTGAGCACCTAATGTTTCTATAGGTAGTGAGCTGGTCCCTGTGAGGCCCACTTCTGGGGATGTTATTCCTTGTACTGACTTCTCTCTACTCTCTGCCCACCATCCCGCATCATAGCGCATGGACTTGGACCGCCGGCGTGAAGAGGCCCGCAACCCCAAGCGGAAGCCACGCCTGATGGAAGAGGATGAGCTCCCATCCTGGATCATCAAGGACGATGCTGAGGTGGAGCGGCTGACATGTGAAGAGGAAGAGGAGAAAATGTTTGGCCGTGGTTCCCGCCACCGCAAGGAGGTGGACTACAGCGATTCACTGACAGAGAAACAGTGGCTCAAGGTACATGCCTGAGAGGGCTGTGCGCCGTAGACCATGCCAGGCAGGGCTGGGAGCAAAGGCCGACCTTCTTGGGTCATCTCAAGCTGATACCTTCCCACATCGTTGGCTACATTGACCACGAATGGCTTTCAATAGGACCTAGGGACCTTTAGTTCTTCCCTCTGTATGTGCCACAAGGAAGAGACCTGCTGTCACCGTGCAGCACCTAGCACGCTATCAGCCTCTGTGGGCTCTCTGTATGGGTGCTTACTTCTTTATGAGGCTGATTGATGAGAGACCCGGATAGTGGTCAGCAAGTTCCCCTGGAGGTGGCCAGGAGCTGGGCTCCCAGTCTAGCTTTGGAGAACACTGAGATTTCAATCCCTGTGTCCTGCTGAGCTGATGCCCCTAGGCACGTAGAGGGGAGGACAGCTTTATTTGAGTACATAGCAGCTGTCCAACCAGCAGTAGCTGCAGGTGGTGAGTGAGGGCATAGGTGAGTAGTACCAAGTGTCTGGCCTCAAGGCTAGCATTGTGTTAGTGATTCGCAATCTAGCCCTGAAGTCATGTATGAGCACAGCCCAGAAGCAGCTATTAGGAGAAGGCAGGTGGTAGTCCAGAGGTGACCCGTGCTGCCCTGCTGGGTGGCCAGACAGCTGTGGTTCCTCCTGGGAGCTCAGAAGAGCCTCACCTAGAGAGCATGCCAGGGAAGCCAGAGTGCAGCTCGGGCCTTTAATCCGGAGCTTGTGGCAAGAGGATTATCGAGAGTTCAAGTGCAGCCTGGGTTACCTATCAAGACCCTGGCAAAGAAAAGCTGCCAGAGGAGTTGAACAAACCTTGGGAGGCTTACCCAATCCTCAAAATACTCCAGAACTAGGACAGGAGCTCCCAGGAAAACAGTCCTTCTGTAGTAATGCCATCACTCCTAGAGGATCTGTCATCCGTTCTACATTTGCAAAGCAGTAGGAGACTTTAAGTTCAAGTCAGCACATCTGCTACGTTTTGTGCATTGATTTTGAGGTGGGATTTGCGTGCCACATGTATCATCTTTTGAAGGTCCGTTGCTAGAGTCACAGAGCATTCCTGGCAGCATTAGAGCAGCTGCATCATCCCAAAGCCCCACTCTTCTCCTTGCTTCCTTCAACTCCTTCGCTTGCCTTACCCTGTCAGCCACCAGTGCACTTGGTGGGTTCTGTTTTTAACCATGGAACACTTCACAGCTTTGTATGTTTTCCTTGACGGGGGCCACACTAACCTTCTCTATTCCAGTTTTAGTTTATGTGCTGCTGATGAGCACTACTGAGCAAATTTTAATTGATGAATTATGTGTAGCCCAGGTTGGCCTTGCATTCTTATACTGTGTCCTCTCCACCCTACCAGAGGCTCTCATTACAGGCAAGCACCGTGTTGCCCTTTAAATTGTTTACCTGTTACGAGCTGGCACCTGCAGACTGGCTGGTGTTCGGTTGTGCAGAGTCCCTCGTGTTATCCATCCACCAGTTGGTGAATGTTTGGGTTGCTTCCTTTGAGGGGCTATTCTGGATGGCATGGTGTGTCATCTTGCAGTCGCTGGTGTATACCTGGGAATGGCATCGATAGAATCGGCTCCTGTGTGCCAGTCCTCAGCCTTGCCACGTTCTCACTAACACCTGTCATGTCTTACCTTGATTGTGTGTTTGTGTGCTTCTTGCCCATTCCTGTATCTTCTAGAGAAGTTTATCTATTTGTTCGTGTCCCTTTCCACCCACCCCTATCCCTTTGAGAAAATATTCTTACTATGTTGCCTGTTCTGGTTTCCAGCTTATGGGCTCAAACAGTCTTCCTGCCTCAGCTTCATGAGTAGCTGAAATTATAGACATAGCAGTACCTACTCTTTCTCTTTTTTAAAAAAAAATGTAAATCGTTTTGTTTATGTATGTATTTGTATTTGTATGTGCAGTGGTGAGAAGCTATGGCATGTGTGGAGCTTAAAGGACAGCTTGATGGGAGGCAAGTCTGACTGTTTACCATGTGGATCCTGGGGACCTAACTCAGGTCCTCGGCTTGGCAACGAGCACCTTTACTCACTGGGCCATCTCCCAGCCCAGTAGATCTTTCTAAGTCTCTTACCATAGGTACACTTAGCAGTAGATCCCTCTCCTCTGTTTCTTTTTCATCGCTTTCATTTCGTTTTTAATTTGTGTGTGCTTACAAGCCATTGAGTCTCTAAGAGGACATCTATTCCCTGAAGATGGATGGTGTTGCACAAGAGGAGGGAGGGGTTGTGAGCCGCCTGACATGGGTGCTAGGAATTGAAGTATGAGCTCTTAACCCCTGAGCTGTCTCTCCTGACCCTCCCCTCTTACCTCCCTGATATGCTTGGAATCACGAATGTTCTTAAGCTATTTATTATTATTGTATATGTATATGACATTTGTGTGTGAGTGCAGGCACAGACACATGCCATGGCACTTGTGGAAGTCAGAGGACTTGCAGGAGTCTGTTCTCTTCCATTATGTGATCTGGGGCTTAGTGGCAAGTTTTTGTGAGCCATCTTGACGGTGCTATTTATCCTTATTGTTTATGCTTTTATATATATATATATATATATATATATATATATAATTTAAAACTTGCCAAATTCAAAGTCACAAAGATTAATTCCTGTTTTCTATTTTGTTTTGGTTTTCCTTATGCTTTGTGGGATAGAATCTGCTTTTCATCCCTAGCTGGTACTCCAAGCTGTCTTCAAACTCATGGTGATCTTCCTGCCTCAGTCTCTCAAGTGCTGGGATTATAGGTATGAACCACCAGGCTTGGCTTTTGCCTTTTGTTTTAAGAGTTTTGAAGTTTCACTCTTTTAAAAATAGAAGACTTCTGGTGCTGGAGAGTTGGCTCATTGGTTAAGAGCATTTATTGTTGCAAAGGACCTGGGTTCAATTCCTAGCACCCATATGGAGGCTCACCTACAGCACCAGGCATACATGTGGTGCACAGATGTGTATGTAGGCAAAACACTCATACACATAAAATAATAAAAATACATCTTTAAAAAAAGAAAAGAACACTTCGTGGATTTAAGTGTCTCGGGGTATTTCTTCCCCAGAGATTTATTGACTTTTATGTATATAGGTGTTTTGCTGCATAAATGTCTATGCTTACAGAGGCCAGAAGAGGGCATCAGATCTCCTGAAACTAGAGTTAGATATGGTTGTGAACCTCTTCCTTTGGAAGAGCAGCAAGTGTTTCTCAACTGCTGAGCCATCATTTCTGGCTCCTTTTGGTGTTTTCTATTGACTAAACTGGCTGGACATTAAACTCAAGGACAGCCTGTCTCCACATACCTCACAGGTACCAGAGCTCAAGATGCATGCCACCATTCCTGGCTTTTATGTAGAGTACTAGGGATCTAAACTCAGTTTGCACAACAGACACTTTTCATTGAGCTATCTCCCAGCCCTCATACTTTTATTTCATACATTAAGTTTTGTGATTTATTTTGAGTTTTTATATAGTGTGAAAACTGAGATCCAATTTAAATAGTGTGTATGCATAGCTAGCTGTCCTAGCAGCATTTGCTGAAGAGAATATTTTTCACAGTGAACAAATCTTATGTTATAATAAATTTACAGTTACAAAGTTAAGTATGGTAGCACATGCCTGTCACCCTAGCACTTGGGGGGATTTTGCTGGGAGGATCAGAAATTCAGGGCTGCCCTGGATTATTGAAGCCCCTGTGTCAAAAAATTGAGGTTATATTAGTGAAACCTCTTAAACCCAGCCCTCTTCCATGCTGCTAATGGGCAGCCACTATTCAGGCCAGTCACTCTGTGTGCCCAGATCTTCCAGTTCATCTGGCCACTACCCAGGCTTGACCTCTGTATTCTCTTCCTAGAGCTGCTCAAATAAAGTACCATAATTGTGCTACTCAACGTAATTTTGAAACATTCTCCCACTATTGGAGAACCAGGACACTGAAGGCAAATTGCTAGCAGGATCATGTTCTCTCGGGGATACTGGGGAATATCCTTGGCTCTCCCAGCTTCTGTGGCTCCAGTTCTTGGCTCGTGGCCACCTATCTCTGGTCTCTACTCGTACCCCTACCCCAACACACGCACACACACCACTCCACACCACTCCGAATCACACAAGAGGACAGAGGGTATGTAAGAAATGGCTCAGTGGTTAATAACAGTACTGCTCTTGCAGAGGACCAAAGTTTACTTCCCAGCAGCCACCTATATTTCCAGCTCCAGGAGAGCTGATGCCCATGCATGCATGTATTTACAAGTAATAGAGAGAGAGCTGGGGCTACTTCTCATTGCTAGGCTAGCATGCTTGAGGCCCAGGAGTCAGTCACTATTGCGTCCTGCCAAAAAAAAATCATTAGCTGATTGCAAGGACCTCGTTTTTATATAAGGTTTCTGAAGTCCTGGGTAGACATGAATTTGGGAACAGTTACTCCTTCCTGCTTGTGCAGCAGAGCCCACAATTATGTCTCACCTGCTGTACATGCCCTTAATTTTGCTTTCTTGGTCTAGGTGCCTTTCTACCCTGCTTCTGCTTGAAGCTCAGTTGTCACTGTCTTGTGACATTTAGCCTGACTCTACTGTGTTATATGATTGAGAGCCTTAGGTGTGAAACAGTGACCTGCTAGGTCTTTTGGATCCAGGCTCCTCCCTTGATCCCAAGCTCCGCTAGAAGATTCTTTGAAAGTTAACTGTTGTTATTTAGTGTATCATTCATCTGAGTAGCTTAACCATGAGGAAGCTGATTTAAGGAGAGTCTGCTGGCAGTCTCCCCTGGCTCAAGTAGCAATGGAAAGGTGTGACCCACGGAGCTCAGGGGCCAGGAGGGCTTTGGCAAGCATGTGAGGTCTTGGGTCTCAGCCACAGCACTGCAGCAGGGTGAGGCTGGAGATGCTGCTCAGTGTCAAGGGCACTTATGACTCTTTCAGAGGACCCAAGTACTGTTCCCAGCACACACATCACAACTACCATTAATTTCCAGCTCCAGGGAATCTGATTCCCTGTTTTGGTCTTCATGATATCTCTCTCTCACACACACACAGAAAAAGTAAAATAAATCTTTTTTTTTTTATTGTTTTTTTTTTTATTTTATTTTTTTAATTTAATTTGCATTGGTGTTTTGTCTTCATGTACATCTGTGTGAGATTTCAGGTCTCTTGAAGAGCAGCCAGTTCTCTTAACTACTGAGCCATTTCTCTAGCACTCATAAAATAAATCTTAAGAAAAGAAGGAAGAGGGAGACTTTAAGTTGTCCAAGAACTGATTGGAATTAAATGAGTGCAGCTAGTACACCGAAAGATTGAGCAGACAGTACATTAGAAACTGCTTAGCTGATACCTGAGAACCCTATCCTCAGCACCAAAGAGTAAGAGTGGGAAGAGGAAGAAATGGACAGGAAACCTGCACATGATGGCACATGTCTTACTCAGAACTGGGGACTTTGAGGCAGGAGGATTAGCTCTTCAAGGCCTGCGTTGGCTACATTGAAACGAGTAATTAAGGGGCCTAGCAATTAAATAAATCTTAAAGTAAATAAGGATATATTACTTAAAGTAAACAGTATATTAGTAGTAAAGGTGACGGGAGACAGGCATACAGCACTGTAGGTAGGCCTGACCTGTGTGAGCTGCAGCCCCGCAGTTATACTGAGGCTCACATATTGGCCTGAGTCAGGGTTCTGAGTGATGGCTGCTAGGCACTGTGGGCACTTGATGCCACTGTACTCTGTACCAATCAACAGCTAAAACAGCTTACCACTGTTTCAGGAAGTAAATGGGCCACTAGTGAGGTCACTCAGCAGGTAAAGGCGACTGTCACCATGCCTGATGACCTGTGAATTCAGTCCCTGGGGCCAGATGATAGAAAGAGAGAACCAGCTCCTATAGCTTGTCCTCTGACCTCCACCCCCACTGTCATTGCCATACACATGTATACAACATGCACACAATCAACCAATAGTAACATTTTTTTTTTTTTTAATTTAATGTCAGTAGCTGGTGACAGAGCCTCACAAGGTCTTCCAGGTGTCTGTATCCATGTGGTTGGGCTATTGCCTGGCCCATGTATGATCCTGTGTTCCTGTGTGGTCAGTTTTTGAATGGGTGCTGGGTGAAGCATCAAAGTGGAGGAGCACTGGCCTGTCCTACTTTCAGGAAACAAGTTGGGGTTCCCAGTAGATGTTGTGCCCTGAGCCAGCCATGCTGGAAGGATGTCAGTGTGGGGGCCTCCTCCCTCCCTAGCCGGGCCCCAGGAGCGTGCATCGCGGCCTCTCTTTGTCGACCTGGGTGCTGGCTGTCCTATTTTACCACTATTGACCCTGAAGGCCATCGAGGAGGGCACGTTGGAGGAGATCGAAGAGGAAGTCCGGCAGAAGAAATCCTCACGTAAGCGCAAGCGAGACAGCGAGGCCGGCTCCTCCACCCCTACCACCAGCACCCGCAGCCGTGACAAGGACGAGGAGAGCAAGAAGCAGAAGAAGCGTGGGAGACCACCTGCTGAGAAGCTGTCCCCAAACCCACCCAACCTCACCAAGAAGATGAAGAAGATCGTGGATGCAGTGATCAAGTACAAGGACAGGTAAGCTGAGGCAGTGGTGGAGGGTTCCTGGGCCGTGTCTGCGAAGCATGGAGAGCAGAGCAACACTGAGGGCTATGTTTTGGTACCTGCCCTCAGAGGGTTTGTGATCTGAAGCAGGGATGCACATAAGTGTCTCTCACCATGACAGGAGAAGAACAGGTGGCAGGATAGAGAAGCAGGCATGTTGTGGTCAGCAAAGTGGCATGTTATGATAGTTGCTGTGTCTAAGGAAGGGCTGGTCTGGAGGCACACGTCCCAGCAGTAGCAGCCGCAGATGCAACTGTTGGTATGATGATGGGTTCTCAGGTGGTGTCTGCGTGACCATGTCTACAGCCTCTGTTTTTCCTGCTGTCTGTCTGGCATCATAGTATTTCTCCCTCTCCCTGTGTCAAGGGTCATTTATATGTTGATAGTTTGTGGACCTTGTCTTGTTTCTTGCTAGGTTCCACTCTTGGAGTGGAGTGTCTGATGAGATTTGGCCACACATGAGGCAGTGAATGTTTTCGGCTATGGCCAAGGCCAACATCAGTCTGTGCTGTTCCTCTGTGGGTGGTGCTGTTGCTTCCCATGCAGCCCTTGACTAGCAGGAGGTGGGAAGTATGACGCTTGGGATTTGCTCACCTTTTCATTGCTTGGTTTCTTAATTTGTGTTTCCAACACACACTGGCCATTGCTTGCCCCTTAATGGAACACAGACAGTGCTCTGTGACTCAGGAAGCAAATTATGAAAGGATTTTGTCATCCAGAGAAAAAGTTAGCAAGTTATGAATCTTCACACCCCATTTGGGAAGAGTCAGCGAGTGAAACAGTTTAGGGATGGTTGTGGTACCTAAATCAGTGAGTGCAAATTGGATGGTGAAATGACTGAGTGGGCAAAGTTACCTGCTACCAAGCCTGATGGCCTGAGTTTGATCCCCAGGACCCACTTCGTGGAAGGAGAGAACCAACTCCTACATGCTGTCCTTTGACTCCACATGCCCATCTTGGCACAGATTCCCCAGCTAGGTCTGAAAAGACAGTGGGGGTGGTTTAAGAATGAGTATCAGCTCCAGTGCTGCCTTTATCTCTCAGGTAGGTTCCACACAGAAAGTAAATAGAGGACTACTGTGTAGAGAGAATAACTTGTTTAAGTATTTATCCTTTTAATTCTGTGTGTGTATGATATTGTGCTTTGACATGCTTGTGGTTTCTAACAATGCTCTTTTGAGGAAACTTAAACTAGAGTGGAGAAGCTTGTTGAAGGTCGATGGGAAAACAAGACAGGCTCCTGGGGTTTTGGATACCACTTGAAAAGACAACCCTTGATCCCTCTTACATCATGAATATCTTGTCCTTTGAAATAGATTATGGTTGTAAAACTCTGAAAGGTAAAACAGTGTTTTAGAAGAAACTACCATCCTTGGATGGCCATCCCTTCAGTGGGACATGGGAGCCATTCATCATTAACGGCTGAGATACTATAGCTCAGAAAGTCAGTTCACCACAGAATGTTCCCTTACTGTTGTAGGATTACTAATGCAGATTCTTGCCAGACTGAGAAGATGAGCTGGTACAAACTTGGACAAGAGGTGTGAAAACATGCCTCTGAAAGGCTTCCTTGGTGTGACCCAGTCACCGTGGGAAAGAGTGCCAAGATTCCTGCATACATCAGAACATCAGGAAGTACACACTAAAACCAGAGTGACTTCTGTGTGATGGTGCCTAGCCCTGGGATGGGATTAGGGGGCGACTACAAGTTTGAGGCTGAAATACAAACAAAAACAAGCAAACAAAAATCCTAAAATTAAATTAAAAATTTTGAAACTAAGAGATAGCCCCCTCCAAGATATCCAAAAATTTGACAGTTGATGACAAGGTCAGGAAGCAACTAAACACCATCCTTTCAGCTGAGCTCAGCTGCATTTTCCTCTCTGTGCTAGTTGTTCTGTCCCAAAAGCCCAGCCCATGTCCATAGCAGCAGGGCTTCAGTCTTCTAGACAGGAATCCATCAACAGAGAATGAACCTTTGGCAGCTGTAACTTAGAGCTCTGGACGCAGGTACTGCTGCCACCAGGAGGGCCTTTACCTGCAGAGCCCTGTGTGCTTCGGTTCAAACCTGATCCATGGTGCTAGACAGTGAGTAGCAGGTCTGTCCAAGTGGGGCCTGACTGGAGAGCTGCCCCAGAGGGACTCTGGGTAGCTAAGAATGTTGTACCTTTATTTCTAGATGTGTATATGACAATAGTAAGGTCATTGATGGTGTGTATCCTTGCCTGGATTTTAGAGCAGTATGTATGAAAGACTTGTTACTTTTACCAAGTAAAGCCAAGTGCCAAGGCCTTGGTTACTTTCAGGAACCAGTTTGTCATTCATGAATTCCATGCCCTACTGAAAATGCTTCCTTCCTCATGTTATTATCCATGACGTAACAGATGACTCATCCAGCAGTAGAACAGAATAGTTTCCAGGGCACAGAAGATGTGATTATAGTCTGGTTAGTAAGGTGGAGACTCTCAGAGTTGCTTTGTCAAGATGGCTCTGTTTGAGAGCCCAGACTCCTTCCTTGTATGTAGTAAAAGTGTGACCTGATGCTGCGCACCTAATGAGGCAGTGACTATACTTACACCTGATCCTGGGGGACAAGATGTCATGGGGCTTGATGCCTGGTTTCTGGGTGACCTCACACCTAGAGTGGACAGTATCATGGAGCCCAGACTCCACAGTGGGGAGGACGTCACAGGATGCCTCTGGGGGTAGTGGTAAGCGCTGGTTGCGTTGGAAGCAGGTCCGTTCACTATAGCATGGGTTGCTGATGGCCAGTCACATGTTACCTAGGGAAAAATAGCCTTGTCTCATTTTTCTGGTCAGATACCTACCTCCTTTGTTAGAGAATTTAAAGAATGGTGTTTAGGTACAACATTGACTCATTTTGTGCAAACACTTAACTAAATTTGCTACTAAGAAGGTAAACAAAGCCGTAAGACAGATAGCACATTGTGAGTTAAGGGAAAGTCTGACTTCATCATGGTAGAAGGATAGAGGTGAAAACGGCCAAGGAAAGTAGTTAACAGGACACCCACAATTCTGGTAATTGATGGAAGGTCAGGGAGCAACTGTACCTTGTCCTAAGTAGCAGCAGCTTCAAGGAGAGTCACGCTTGCAGTTTCTGAAGAGGCATCTCCCCACTGTCCCTCCCTTCTGATGGCATCACAGGCATTGCCAGTTTCACTGCAAATGTTGAGACAGCCAGGGATGCCTGGGCACCCAGGAGTTTTGCTGGGACTTGCTCATGTACTCATGACTGACTACTCACGTGGCTGACCTCTGTCTCCATCACCTCTGCTGGTCGGCCTGACCTGGAGTTACCAGCCTGAATCACAGCCCTACCCCCGGCCCAGAATGGCATTTCAAGGGCTCAGAGGTCACCTTGCAGCACCCAAGGGCAGAGGCCACAGGTTTTTTATGACATAGCTGTCATCCAGAAGGTCGTGAGCCAGCACTGGCTTACGGTGTGGCGGGCTGTATTCAGAAGTCAAGGTCAGTGTCTCTTACCTTGTTACAGGCTGTGCTAGAGAGACCATGGGGAAAGTAGCATCAGACTTTGTTTTTGTTTTCCGTTTTAGACAGAAGCTCACTGTGGAGCCTTGGCGAGCATCACACATTTTTTTTTTTCTTTTAATGTATGGGAATGCTTGCCTGTATATATGTCTGTGTACCGTGTTTGTGCCTGATGGCAGAGCAGAAGAGTGTATAGGAAACCCCTAGAACTGGAGTTTATAGGTGATTGTGAGTCACCATGTGGATGCTGGAAGTTTTGAACCTGAGTCCTCTGAAAAAGCAGCCAGCAGTCTGAACCGTCAAATGGAACATTCAAGAAAAAAACATTTGAACCTTTTGGTTTATTTTATTATTATTATTATTATTATTATTATTATTATTATTATTATTATTATTATTAAAAAGATTTATTTATGTACTTTATGAGTGTTATATTTGCATGTACACTTGCATGCCAAAAGAGGCTATCAGATCCCAGTGTAGATGGTTGTGAGCCATCATGTGGTTGCTGGGAATTGAACTCAGGAGAAGCCAGAGCTCTTAACCACTAAGCCATCTTTCCAGTCCCCTTTTGTTGTTTTGAGGCAAGACTTGCTTTGTAGACTAAGCTAGCCTCAAGTTTAAGGCAGTCAGCTTCAGCCTTCTGAGTGTTGTGGTACAAGTGGGATCTTTTCAGATTGCTTCCAAAAGCCTCTGCTCATATGTGCAGCAAGCTGAGGTACACATGGAGTTACCGCAGTGCTGCTCGCTTTCTTTTCTTTCTTTTTTTGTTTTGTTTTGTTTTTATTTTTTCCTAAGACAGGGTTTGTCTGTGTAGCCCTAGCTGTCCTGGAACTCATTCTGTAGCCCAGGCTGGCCCTGAACTCAGAGGTCCGCCTTCCTCTGCCTTCGGAGTGCTGGTCTATCAGGACATAGATCCATAAGGGTCAGGGCTACTCAGCTGCTTGTAGAGACTGCTCTCCTGCAGTCTCAGTCCTCTGTCCGTGTTAGAGCACTGCCAGACCTGGGAGAGTAAAGCTGTGCCCAGCGCCCTCCCCAGCACAGTATGTTGACTCCACACAACACACTGCAGAAATGAAGTGGGAAGTAGAGGGTTTCACTTTGAAATCAAAACATGCGTGAAAAGTAATGGACTCAGGGGTTGGGGTGTACCTTGTCCTGGCCCATGAAAAAGGGATCTGCATTTGAAGTGCATAGGGGCAGCTTTCAGAGCACTAGAGGGTGCCACCTTGGCCAACTGGCCCAGGGAAAGCCCTCGGCTGTCCCCAGGCTGCAGACCTCCCAGGACCCTTGCTGATGTGTAGACTGTATTCACACTAACACTGGTGCTGAGGTCATGGTGACATGTTTGCCTCACAAGTTGTACACTTTTGGTGATAGGACAAAGGGGCGGTGCTGTCTTCACTGGACACTCCAAGGTGGTGGGCACATACCAACTCTGCCAGGATGAACATATCTGGCCC